CCCAATACTAAATTCTTAGTTAAAGGAAAAACTTTAAGGTTCCTCAACATAATCTCCTTTCTAACATTTCTGCCAGTTACTCCTACAATTTGTCTCACCAACCCACTCTACTCTGCCCCTCTAACCCAGGCTCCTTGACAATGCAGGGACCACATCCCAGTCACAACACTCTGCATTGCCTGACCCAGTCCACACTGCCTGGTTGTATGGCAGTGTTAGTGATAAGAGGGGCATGCAGTGTAGCCAGGGATGCAGCTTCCACATCCTGAGGTAGAGCTTGCAAAGACAGCAAGCCTCTGGAGATGGTCACTAGACTGGAGGCAGCTAAGCCAACGTCTTCTGGGAAATAGAAATGAAGAGAACTGCCTGAAACTCACTGTGTGAGTTTGGGCGAGTCACAGCCCCATGTCTGTACAAATTAGGAATTGTATCAATGATTCATAAGGCCCTTCCTACCCTGTATCGATAGCCAGTGGCCACCATTTTCAACTCTTTGCCTTCCCATTCTCTCTTTAGCATAGGGTGAATGTAGTGATGGCTGTCATAGAGGTTAAGGTGGGTTACTGCCCTTGGCCCAGGCTGCTGTGTTACAGAGGACAGCATCCAGCCATGAGATTGCAGAGGAGCTTCCACACGGAGAAAGGGCTGAAGCGGACCGTCCCGAATTCCTAGTCTCAGATTCTGTGATTCACAGCAGAAGCAGAGCTCATGGGTAACTACCTGTGACCTCATTACTTTTTTCAGCCTCAAGTCATAAAAAAACACCCAGCAAGAGAGCAAACTCCCTTCAGCGTTGGAGGCTTGAGACTCAGAACAGCTAAGATAAGCACCAAGACCTCACCATTAGAATTCTAATTGGGGCCTTTGTGTCCAGGGCTCTCAAGTCTGTGATACTGAATTACATAGGCAGGCTGGGCATTCCCAAGCTTGGATCTCTTCAGAGAAGCCAGGCTCAAGTGCATCCTTCCTCCCTCCACACATGTCCAGAACACCCTTCTCAGTCTGCCTTCTTCTGCTCTGCACACAAGCTCCTTCTCCGCTCTGAGAGATCTCATCTATCCCTGGGCTCAACATCAGCTGCTCCTGGAAAATGAATTCTTCCCACCCTTCTTGTGTTTAGCCTTCTCCTCTGTGACTCAGTGGCAATTGTTCATATTATTTCCGCATTTTTATCATCATGGTTCTGTCTAGTGCAAGCCTCCCAGGCACGGACCTAAGTCTTTTTGCTTTTTGCTTCCCTCTGTTCCCTCCATGCCAGCCAACACTGAGCACGGTGCCAGGACATACAGTAGGGGCTTAGCACACATCTACTTGGTGCACAAATGCCTTCAGACGCAGAGAGATTGACGCCTGTCTATACTGGTCCTGAACAGTAGAAATGGAAACGTGACCCTGACATTCAGATCTGGTAGTTTTTCCCTGACCTTGCAGAAAACAATTTCCTGTTGGCTTCCACCTTTGGACTCACTCTTCCCTCCCCTCAGGTCTCTCAATAGTTGGGGTAATGGGGGCTTCTCAAGGGCTCTGCTCTGCCTTTTACCCCAGAAACTGGAGAACGGGACTTTGGATCAGAAGGTCAAGCCTAGATGGAAGCCCGAGAGGTCTCGGGATCTGATAGGGGAGTTCATTTTTCAATGGCTCAGTGTCCAATTGGTCAGACAGAGGCACTGGGCCTCTGGCCCTGCTCCAGAGCTGGGGATGGTAAAAGATTCAGAGGTCAGTGTGGCGAGCAAGGAGATCAGGTTCTCAGGAAAGCACAAAATGGGACCATGTCACTTGTCTGCTTGCTGCAGAAAAGACAACAGAAGATATGTCCAGATGGGGAACCAATGTGATCAAGGAGGTCAGACCTCTCACCCAGGCAACACTGGAAACAGCCATGACGTTGTCACTGGAAAGACTGTGTTCTGAGAAGCTGGCCGAACACCAAGGAATGGGGAGCCAGGAGGCCAAGCAGGCAGGACTCAGGATTCTATCCTTCATTCGCCTATTATAAATACCGGACTTTGCAAAAAGTTTCCTCTGAATGACATGATGCTGAGGATGGCAATGACTCTGACAAGGACACACCCTTCCCTCTTGGATCTCAACTCCTTCCTCCCTGGTCTTCCAGTCTCAGGTTCAGTCAAGTTATGTAGATGCCAGCAGGCATTCTAGTTGGTAGAAAACCCAAGCTATCAGTCTTGAGTACATGGTAGCCTGTGTAGATGCCACCCACCCATCTTAGTTTTCTGTGGCAAAACAGCATGACCAAGGCAACTTACAAAAGAAAGCATTTAATTAGGCTTACAGTTTTACAGTGTTGAAGTCCATGATGGCAGAGCATAGGCATAACTGCAGGAACAGTTGAGAGCCTACACCTCAATCCGCAAGAAAGAGGCAGAGAGGCAAGGGGGTAGAGTGTGGAAAAATACTGGGGATGGTGGGAGTCTTAAAATCTCAAATCCCACCCACTGTAACACACCTCCTCCAACAAAGCCATGCCTCCTAAACCTTCCTAAACAGTTACACCAACTGAGGGCCACGTATTCAAACAGATGAGCCCGTGGGGGTCATTCTCATTCATACCAGCACTCCAGAATACACACCCTCCTTCCTCTGCTCCACACTTGGGTCACAAGAGTATTCTCTTCTGGGCTTCAACTGCATCACCCTCAAACCCTCTGCTCTCTGTGCAACACCTTCCTTCCTGCACCCTTTCCTCCATCTGGATCACTTTTACTTCAGCTCAAAGGCACACTTGCAAAGGATCTCTCACCGCCTCCCTCAGGAAATTAGTTCCCATCTCTGCCCCATAACCACCTCCTGCCCTTGCTGCAGTTCACCATTTCAGACCACGATAGCAGAGCCGGTGTCCTCAAACCTGGATCCCCACTGCAGCTCTGCCATCTCCAAACCTTGAGCAACTGAACTTCTCTGGTGACTCAGTTTCCCCATGTATAAAACTGGAATAATACTCGAAAGCACTCTTCTTACTGTGGGACTGAATGAGCTAACACAGGCAGAGAATTAGACTCTATCTACCGATTATAAGTGCTTGAAATATTAAATGCTGGGGATCGTGTTCAATGAGGGTTGTGATCAGCTCCAGGCTGGTCCCTGCGGACTTTCCCTGGGAATGTGTTTGCCCATGCAATTCAAATATATTCATGTTTTTTTTCAATTGATTCTTTTAACAAGATAAAAAAAGTAGAGAGTAGAGAAGACATAAGAAATGAGAAAGGTGGGGTTTTCTCCCCCCCATAGAAAGTCTGCTCCTCATGGGGTCTCTATCCTCTCCTTTTATTCAGCTGTTATTCCAATGGGTCTTGGCCAGGGTGAGAAGGTTCCTTTGAGATCATTGGTGACATGGTGCCTATCTCTTCAGTAGAAAACTGGCATTTCTGTTGGAATGCCCTCTGGACCGTAAGCACCTTGAAAGAACGTCACGTTTCTGCTGCTTGTCACTCAAACAATTAGCCCAGTATCTGTGTCCGGTAATTAATGTGATAGTTTATCTTAGTTATCACCTGGCCTGGACTGAAAGGTGCCGAAGAAAACCAGAGAAGCACACTTCCGGGTACGTCTGTGAGGACACTTCCAAAAACAGTGGGCATGCGAGTCCATGAACCCAGACGCAAAGCCCTACTCCAAAAGCGGGTGGCCCTGTCTAGTAGACTGGAGGCAGAAAGGGGAGCTCACTCGCACACGCCCACCTGACCCTTCCTGAGTGGATGTGTCATTTGCTGACGTCACCTGTGATCATCAAGCTCCGCATTCTTCAGCTTTTGAAGAGAGGTAGCCCCGGTGATGCTCTGGGAGGTTTCTAAGCCCTCAGTCTGGGGTTGGGGCTGCGTCATTGGTCTCTCCTGCCCTGAGGCGTCAAGATTCTAGGAGCAGCTGCTGCTCTCCCCAGATCTCCAGTCTGTAGTCAGCCATGGTGGGACCATTCTACCTCTGATTTGTGCAAGCCAATCTAACAAAGTCCCTCTTGAAGTTAATAAGGCCCCTCCTCTTAGAGCTACAGTTACATTCAGTTTGTTCTCTTCCTCTGGAGAACTTTAGTCAACACGGCCAGTTTGCATAAATGAAAATGTAGCCAATTAATTAGCTGCCACAGTCTCCAGCCCTTCACCATCCCTGGTAGACTAAAATCCGGGTGAGTTTTCCAGATAAGAGCAGATGAATCCCATCTCCCACAGAAAAAGGCAATCCCAGTATCGCCGGTGAGCCATGCCATGACCTGACTAGGACCGAGACGAGGAAGGACACTTGACACCAAATTACATTGCATGCAAAGCATGGCGGGAGGCCTGGGTCAGAGGCAGGAGGGGAGTGTGCAGACTGTGTTCTCAACTTGGTGATGACCCTAAGTGCCACCAACAGCAATTGATCTGTCTGTTTCTGAGACCCGGTGTTCACATCTCTCTCAGGCCCTTGGTGTCCAGCAAGCTAGACAAGGTCTTTTCTCTGTCACCATCTGGGCATGGATGCCATTCCGGAGATCAAAGTCAAAATCCAACAGCTGAGCCTTGCTGATAGTAGGCTTTAGCCTACTGACTGAAGAAAGACGATTTTTACGTGTGCTCATTTCAAAGCACCCCCACAACTGGCTTGCCTCATGTAAGCCTTGAGCTCAATCAAAGGAGCCCACAGAAGAAGGACAGAACCAACTTCTGACTCACAAACACACATTCACACATCATACAAACACACATAATGACAGCAACAATCACAATTTAGGTTTTAACTTCTCGTGGCAAGGCCTTCTGGCAGCTAACATTCACATAGAGAGACCCAGTACCACTGCCCAACTCCACCACCTGCTTGTTATCACTGGCTTTAGGAAATATCCCCAAATTAGTGACTAACTCAGCTTCGGGGTAAATAAGTGATGTGTGCGCCTTCTGTGAGGAAGCTGCTGGTTGCCCTTACCCCAGTTCACCCTGTGCCCTGTCCCCTGCAGTCTGCACACTGCCCGCCCAGCAGAGCTGGGTATTCTCTCTTGATCTTCTTCCACACAGAGAGAGGGCCAGAGAGATCCTGTTTCACCCAAGAGATAGAATTTCTGGATCCCAGGCGTCTGCTGATCAGTATCCTTCCTGCCAGTCCTCCTGTGGACCCTGGGACCAGCACATCCCTCCCGCTATGGACAGCTGACCCCACCGAAGCTGCAGAGGCTCACACAGACCGAGATACACCTTCCCCTCCTTCACTCCTCTGGTAAGTGCTGCCCCATGCTCTTTTCCCTTGGCCCACTCTTCAGTCTCTTCAGTTGACTCTTGACTCCCATATCGGGCTCCAAGTGGCATTCTCCTACAGGTCTTGAGGCATTCTGGGAAAATTCAATTGCATGCATGGCAACAAGTGTCAGCCAGCCAAGCTGGCTCACTTCCCAGCATGCTCTTAGGAAGCTGCGTTCTTCTGGTCCGCTTTTCCCAGCTGTTTAGCTCGAAGCATTCCAAGAACACTAGCTTCAGCCTGGGCTCTGGCTTTCTGTGAGAAGAAAGCATAGGCTGTTCACCACATCCTCACCCACTGTGCAATTTTGCTTGCACAAATTCAGAAATTCCTGAGTCCTATTATGGCTTAAGGAACTCCCCCAGAAAATCCTACATAAGCCCCCTATTCACATGCAAACCAACAGAAGAGCAGGCCTAGAAGCTAGAGACAGAACTTCATCCAGAAAGACACTAACTTCAGTGTGTTCGGACGGACACATGCTGACAACTCCCTCCGCCCACTCCACTGCCATAGGCCGAGGTCCTACAATTCTACTATAGATGCTTTGTTCCCTAAATGGTGGTTTTGTGTCCCAAGCGATGAATTGCTCAACAAATATTTTCTTTCAGTGTGTCTTCTGTGTTTGAGATGACAGATTGTTCTAGGGCCTGGGGTGATATAAGGATATGAATCCATCTCCCAAATCTCTCTGCAAACATTGTTACCGTGCCTGCTTTACTGATTAGGAGATTTAAAAGAAAAAAGAGGGAGGAACTATCCCAAGGTCACACCGCTTAAGAAATGTTGAGAACAGCCAGTTATGGCAGCGTACACCTGTAATTCCAGCACAAGAGAGTTGAGGCAAGGGCACCGTGAGTTCCAGGCCAGACTAGGCTGTTTAGAGAAAGCCTGTCTGAAAAGGAGGAGGAGGAGGAGGAGGAGGAGGAGGAGGAGGAGGAGGAGGGTGGGGGGAAGGAAGAAGGAAGAAGGAGGAGAAATAGTTTTGAAGCACAGCTGTAGAGAACTTTGAAAGTTCTTACAAAAAAGAGATGGCAGCATTTGTCATGTTGCATCCAGTGTCAACATGAGGACACAGGTCTTGCTGGCCCGGCCCTGCATCACCTATGCAGGGAAAGGGAAACAAAGGATCATGTGGGAAGACTGGGCTGTTGCCCAGGGGAGCAAGAGCCAAGCTCATTCTCCCCTCCGCCCCTTGATAGATGTCACCTGTGTCCACACAGCTAGGACTGACTCCAGGTCCCCCCACAGCGCGGGAGACAGAGGCACATGAAAATGGAGTCCCCTGCAGAGCTCTACCTGGGATGCCAGGATCTATGCCAGCTGTGAGGAGGAGTGCCCTGTTAGTTGCGTAGGAGGGACAGAAAGGCTTGAGAAGTCCACAGTAGACCTCGAGACGAAAAGTAATGTCTGAACAGGTCATGGTAAGAGAGGGAGCATGTAGGATCAGATAGGAGGCATCATGAAGGCAGGTATAAAAGACTTTGAAAATGGTGGAGTGAGATGGTAGGCGAGAAGAAGCCTGTACCGGAGTAGAGGACTAGGGAATACCGTAGGAGAAGGGAAAGGCAGAGTGAGTTCAGGCCATCACAGGAGCAAGGGACAGCCCTAGGAGTGCTCTCAAAACCAAGCCAACAACTGGGAAATGGGAGCACACTTGTGACCTCATAACTCAGGAAGCGGAGGCAGGAGGATTTCAAGTTTAAGTTCAACCTAGGCTACATGGCCAGACCCTGTATCAAATGATGATGATGGTGATGATGATGATGATGATGATGATGATGATGATAACAAGGACTCTATAAATAAGCAGGCCAAAGCAGCAAGGCCCTGTCTCCAATGAATACCAAAGCCAACTTTTACATAATACCTGTCATGTGTCTAGAGTTGTGTACATGACTGTGGCTTACCGGTAAGATTCTAACCAGTGTCCATCTCAGGCAGGATATCCATGGTGTCTCCCTCTCTGCCCTTCTTCCCAGCATTCAGTTCTGTCTTCTCCATGCCTACCTAAGTTCTGCCCTATCAAAAGGCCAAGGCAGTTTCTTTATTCAACCAATGAATGCAACACATAAACAGAAGGACCTCCTACACCAGAGTTGTTCTAAGAATTCACATTAGTCGGCTCCCCATCACAGAGAGGAAGAAGTACAGAGATGAAGCAGCCTGTGCAAGGTCACAGGACCCGCTGTTCACAGAACTAGAGCTGCTGGCTGACTTCAGCATCCATGCGTGTGACCACAATGCTAAGCAAACTGCCTCATAGGATGATAAAGGAAGGAAGGGGTAGAAGGTGGTGCTAGGTTAATTTACTCATGATGAATTGCAACATGCTGCCAGATCTGTGAAGATGAAAGGACCCAACCTAGCCCTTGGTGTAGGCTGCCTAGCAGCACTGGCGAGTGCTAGACTCAGAAGCAAACACAGGACAGTATGGTCCCTGTTACACCCCTTACTACCCTAGCCGCTCTAGATGGGTAGTAAGTACATTAGAGACGAGCGTCCTCATCTATAAATGAAGACAATAATAGCAGTCTTCCCACCTCAGGTCTGCCTGTTGAGTAGTTCAAAATGAAAACAAGAATATTTGTGAATTTGTACAAAGCTGCATGGGACGCCAGAGCTGAAGGGTGGAAAAGCAACTGGCTTCTTGCACCTTAAATTTGCCCTTCATACCTGGACAAATCTGGCCGAGACGTCAAGTCTACTTTGTTTGTCATCTCACGTGTACTTGGGTCAACACAGATCAAGGGGTCTCAAGTGGGCAGGAAGGTGTTTATTAACAGCAAAGAAAGTATACAGGGAGCTAAGATAACTTCCCTGGCATTGCACAGCTAGCAAGAGGCAGGGACCACACCCAGGTGCTCATTCCTGGAGTCCATGAACATGCTCCCTTTCTTTCTTTTTTTTTTTTTTGTAAAGCTTATTATTTCTTTTTTAAGATTTATTTATTTATTTTTATTATGCACACAACATTCTGCCTGCATATATGCCCATGCGCCAGAAGAGGGCGCCAGATCTCATTTCAGATGGTTGTGAGCCACCATGTGGTTGCTGGGAATTGAACTCAGGACCTCTGGAAGAGCAGCCTGTGCTCTTAACCACTGGGCCATCTCTCTTGCCCCGACATGCTCTCTTTCCAACTGACAAAAATGGCTTTGTGAAATCACCAGCTCATGGCAAAGGAGGCAGAAGTAGAGAGTTGAATAGACATATCCCCAATGTTATAATTTCTCCTAGAAATATTCTTCCTTGAATTCTTTGGGAATATCTAGAAACAGCTTCACATTTTGTGGGGGAGGGGGTAGGCAGGAGAAATTTTACAGGAACATCACCCCTACCTCACTTACCTGTCCTGTCCTACCTGAGGCAGCTAAGTAGGGGTGAGCAGCAGGAAGGTTTATTGCAGCTTATCTAAAACCCTGAGAGGACAAACAACAGGAGATAGAGTCTGAGTGGGGACCTGTTTGAAGTCAAGATGTGTTAGTGTGTAGACAGTGCACTTCTCTGCAGGGTCCCTTCTGGCTCCACCCCTTCCCATGTGCTTGTTGGCGTATAGCTGACACCAGAGCTCTGCAGACAGACATCCCACAGTTACTTTGGTCACTGAGTTAAACAGAAACTGCCTCAGTAGAGATGCAGACTCTAACGAGCCAGCCCCCCAGCTTCTAGCACCAGCAATGCTGCAAGAAGTCCTGCAGTATCCCAAGCCCAAGGCCTACCCATGTTTACCCTGGCATCTTGTAACTGCACCTGTCACCCTAGAGGTAGATGCACCCTTCTCTCCCAAGCAAACAGGGAGACAATATGTCTCCTAATACACAAAACCAGGAGTCCAGAGAAAAGGGTCCAGGAGACCTCCCCCACCACCAGCTGACTCTCGGACCAAAGTTATCTTTCCCAAGACTAGGAGATTCCTGTCCCCACAGTTACCAGTACTAAACTGTAAGGCTCGCATTGCTGCTGGAATGATTATCCTGGGCTCATTCTTTTCAGCATTGCTGCTGCTGCACGGGGTTTAAATGAAAGAGCTCTTGCCTGCATCTTCCCATCCCTTTAGGAAGATAGCTTTGTCCTTGAGCAGTCCTCACAGGGAAAGAGACATGCTGCCCACGCTGTGCCCATCGCCGCTCTCACAAGGCAGAGAGCCATGTGACCAGCCATCTGAGCCCCCTCCGATCCTCCTTGTCTTTTTCAATTGCTCCAAGCAACAGAACATGCTCCTCTTCCAAGAGGCAAAAAGACTAGATTGGAGGAAGGGGTCAGGCACCCCTGGAATAGAAACATCTGTGCAGTGTGGGTGGTGTTGCAAGAGTCTGCCCATGTGCATCTGCAGATTTTTTTCAGTCTTGGTAATTACGTATGTAGTGTATTTGTGTCTATGAGTACGTGCACAAGAAAGCATATGTGTGCCTGTGTGTGGCATATGTAGTTCTATGCATACACGTGTGTATGTGTTCTCTCTCTCTCTCTCTCTCTCTCTCTCTCTCTCTCTCTCTCTGTGTGTGTGTGTGTGTGTGTGTGTGTGTGTGTGAGAGAGAGAGAGAGAGAGAGAGAGAGAGAGAGAGAGAGTTCCCAGGCAGAGTGAATGAACCCACATGAGCATCACCCATGCCAGTGGGTCTGCTATTATGGAATTAGAGAATCATAGGAAGAGTGCTGAGTTTGGAACTAAAACACCCAGGTGTGAGTCACAGCTTCCTAGCATGGACTAGTCACACACTGTACCTCAGTGTCTCCCTGTGCTAAATGAAGACTAGGATCCCTGCCTATGACAGTAGCCACAGACGGTTCCAACCATGTATGGATTTGATGTGATTTGTCAGTCTGAGTGCAGGCACCTAGAGCAATTGCCTCATCCATTGTGGCAGGACAGGAGAAGACAGTCTCATCATCGCACAGGGGAATAGAGATCGGATCACAGGAGTCTGCCTCTGTGGCCTCTTCCTCCCTGATCGTCACATTTATCACAGGCAGCCTCT